GGGTTGTGGGGGGGCGCCAGCCACTGCCTCCAAGGGAGGAGAGAAAGACGCATGCTGCAGCTCTGGGAACAGGCACTGGCAGCCTCCCCGCAAGAATCCCACCTCACCGAAGACACACAGAGATGCCCAGGTGCTCTGGGAAGACCCTCTCACATTGCCAGTCTGCACGAGGGTTGCATCTGCTGCCTCCAGGCCTACAGCTGGCAGGAGGTGGGCAAGGGGCTGAGTGGGCAGTTCTTGAACTCTGCATCACAGACGGATCTTCTGTGTCCTGAATTAAACAGGAAAGACTCAGGAGAGAGAAGAAAAGGTTTGTGAATAAAACGATTTGTGCCAAATGGGAGGTGACGCTGCTCCGAGGCAGCAATGCCTGAATGTACAAAGTATTATTTTTTAAAAGAAACTCTGCTGGAATCATACTAGAAATACCAAGGTGCAAGGCAAAGTCTGCTTGTGCACAGCCCTGCAAAAAGCCTGGCCTCTCCATGCTCCATCTGCATTGTCACCGGCCTCAGACCTTTCCCCAGGAAAACAAATCCGTCCAAAACTTTGGTGTCGTTGGTGCTGCTATAATTTGAAGGGAGAATAATGGCTTTCCCTCGTTCTCCACTTGGAGCTTTTGGATGGAGATGAGCATGGGTTTGTTTTTCTGCACTTTTTCTTGCTTCCCACATAGAGGCGGCAGCCACTTACTTGGCTGCGTTTTCCATAGCTGTTTGCCCTGCTCTGCCTCTGCCCCAACCCCAAGGTGGAGCAGGGAGCCGATGGCTTTCTCTGCCTGCAGCAGACCCTCCCCACTTCCCTGCTTGTCACAGCACTGAGGAACCGGCCTCGTGCTCACGGCTTTCAGGCCTCTTGGTTTGTGCCTGCTGTGCAGGGCCGCCATGGAGTCTGTGCAGATTGGGGTCACCGTTTCTGGACAGCATCTCACTTGATTTTTGCATGGGAGAGGAGTAATTTATTCTTTGGAAGAAGATCAGATCTTGCGTGGAGATCTGAAGCTTTACAGTTTGAGAGCAGGCTGCCGAAGATGTTTGTCTTACGTTCCAGACTCAATCATGTTCCCTATTTAAGCGATGTGTGATCTCAGTGATGATGGAGCCTGCTGGCACGGGTGGGGGCCTGCTGGGAACCCTCACCCCCTGCTCGGCCCCTGCTCGCTTCATTTCCAAGCTCCTCCCGTGCTGCTCTAGCACTGTGGCTCCTCCTGTTCTCAGGAGCACATCCCTTCTTTTGCTGTCTTGGTCCCGAGATGCAGTATTTGCACATTTGATCTGTATACGTATTTCAGAGGAGCTGGAATAAACTGAGCAACGTGGCCAAGTACGAGGACAGCGGGGTGGTCTCATCCACCTGGAGAGCGTGGGCAGAAGGGGGATTTCCAGGGGAATGGTCACAGGTGGAAATTGGGCACTGTCCCAAGCCGAGTCCGTGTGTTAAGGCACTGGTGTGCAGCCAGCCAGTGCTGGGGTCAGTAAAGGGGGCATCCTGGAGGGGTATTGGCTGGGCCTGTGGTCCTGGCACTGCATCTGACATAGCCCAAGGATTGCAGTCTGCCTTGCTGCGAGCTGAAGGGACAACATGGCCCTAACATGGATAAGGTATGCTCAGAGCAGGGCTCGCATGGTTCCCCTGAGCCGCCTCTGCTCCCACTGACTTGCAGGGGGCTGTGGCTCGGGGGCTGAGACCCCAGAGGGGATGTGCAGGAGGGGCAGGCAGTGACCCAGGCGTGGGGGCAGAGGAGCAAACTGTGTGTAATGGTTTGAGACCAGGCTGCAGGCAGAGGCAGCTCTCAGGACGTGGTGCTGGGTGCTGCCCACAGACCAGCGTGGGATGTGCTCCTCAGGAGCCTCTCCTGCATGCCCATAGCCAAGGAGCTTGCTCAGGAGCAAGTCCTGTCTAGCTTCTGGTCATGGCTGCTGCTTGCCTTGTAGTCTGGGAGCAGCTCAAAGATCCTGCCTCTTCCAGGCTGCAGAAGACAGATGCTGGGAGGCTCTCCCTTCCCCTTCCCATGCCCCTTCTCCTGTCCCTCTAGCCTCCCAGCCTGCTCCCCCCAGTACATGCCTCCCCCCAGGATGCTCTGTGAGGTTTCCAGCCTGGAGAGCTGAGGTTTCCAGCAGGTTTTTGAGCATAAGCTGTGGCAGGTACTCCTTTGAATATTCTCCCTCAATTTTTTTTTCCTGCTCAGGGAGCCCAAGGGACTGGATTTCCATGGCTCTCACCAGGCGACATTCCCTTTGCAGTTCTTGTGTGCAGCCTGGACCTGGAACCATCGTCCTTAGAGTCCCTGCCACGGTGGCAGTGGGGGTGCCTGGGCTGGACCTGGCCGAGGTTGTGGCTGGGGAAGGGTGGGCATCCGCCCTCCGCCTTGGTACTTGAACTGGATCTTTAACCAGCTGCTGTGGGAGCCCTGGGGCAGTGATGGGGTGACGGGCCACATCCGTGGGCTACAGTGAGATGAGATGCCAGAGAGCGGTTGGCTGCAGCCAGAAGGAGGAGGAGGAGGGGGGTGAAGAGCCTTTACTGTCCATGCTGGGCTCCTCTCCACTCCCTGGGGCAAGCACCCCCACGGAGGCTTGTGATGGCATTCATTTGATTTAATCCATTTCACTGAGCACTACAAAGCTACGGGCACCTTTATCTTCCAGCTCACTGGCTCCAGGTCCAAGGAGAGAGCATGGCCCCTGCTCTGCTTTCCCTGGCGTCCCAGTTCCCCACCATGGCCAGGGACGGGTCCTGATGGAGAGCTGTCCCTTTGGACCAGGGAGGTGACTCCAAGCCCTTCCCTCCACCATGGTGGGGGTTTCCAGGCAGAAGTGCCCAGGCTGAATAGGTGAGTGCGTGGCCCAGGGTGACTGTGGTGGGTCAGGACCACCTGCAAGCAGAATGAGAGAGAGGATGGGGAGTTGTTTGGGGGCCAAAGGCTCCCCTCTAACTCACTGTCCCATTTGACGTTGGTGGGACAAGAACACCCACAGGGCAGCCCTCCAGTCGGGCGATGGGGGTGTGCGCCCCATCCCCAGTGCGCGGCGCTGGGTTTCGCTCCTTGATGCTGCTCCTTTGGCTGCCTCCCTGCGTGCACCTGCAGCCACCTCCCGCCCTCCGAAACGCTGCAGTCCTGCCAGCTTGGAGCGGTGCACACAGGTCAGAGCAGGGTCAGTGGGACGGATGCGAGTCTTGGCCTCTCCCTCGCAGTGACTCACCTTTTCAGCTCGGAAGGGAGAGCCCAGGGGAATTCTCCACAGCCTAAATATAGAGCAGGGTTGCCTGGTGCCTCTGACGCGCTGCAGTGCAGAAAGGCCACTCGGGTGGCAGGGAACCTGCCTAGAGAGAGGCCGGGGGAGCGCAGGGAGGTCAGAGAGCCAGCTCCCGCAGCGGGGTTTTGCTCCGACTGGTGCAGAGAGCAGGGCTGGGGAGCTGCAGGCCAGCCAGCACGTGCTGCTGCGGGGGAGAGGGGCTGCCGGAGAGCTGCTGCTGCACTGACCGCACCATGAGCATGGGCTGCTCATGCATTTGGGGCGTACAGCCCTCCCCAGCGCCCGCCACCCTGGCATCGGGCTCCCTCCACCAGCTCACCCCATTAGGGCTGGCCATGCCGTGGCCTCAAGCTCACACGTGCCAAACAGAGGCACCGCGGCCGAGGAGCACAAGGCAGCAGCGGGATCCTCTGTAGCCCAGCATCCCTGGGCTTCCAACATCTCCTTTTCCTGGGAGGCAGCAGCGGGGAGGCCCTGCCCGGCCGTGCTGCTTTACCCCTCAGCGCGGACGCCGCTGGGAGAGGGGGAAGGTGTCGGGACAGGGCTGTCTGTGTCAAATGGGGGCAGGCAGGCTGGGGGTGGGCAGCACCAGGGGACAGGCAAGGGCTTCCAGACTGCCTGGCAGGGAGGCGGCCGCTGTGCTGAGCTCCGCCGGCACCAGCACGGCGCGTGCCATCGGCCCAAGCGTGCATCACGTGCAGTATTGGAGACGTGTCCTTCGGCGCGGGTGACCCGGGCCACTACCCAGCCGCTCCGGACGCCAGCTCCTTGCACAGCCTGCACGGGGACTCGCCGGTGTGCTCGCTGGTACTGTACCAAGCTGCGGTGCAAGAACTCAATGAGTTTTTAAAATTAGTTTTAGTTTCTGCAATTTTTTTTTTTTTTTATTTCCCCTCTAGGCAGGGAGGGCAAGAGTCTTGCAGGCTTCTCCAAGCCGGCTTATGTCACATCAATTCAGTCATATCACAGAAGCAATAAAGCTATCAAACAAGCTTGGCCGGCCTCTTTCTTTTGCTGCCTTTGGCCTTTTTTAGGGGAGGCAGAGGGATTCCCTGGTTTCGCTGCTGGTTCCTCCAGCACGGTAACCCAGAGGCAGCTGCCAGGAGCTGCAGCCAGACGATGCCACGGGCCCGGCGGGGGACAGGAGAGGGCTGCGCTCCTCCTTGCTGGTGACCTGAGGGGTGGGAGAGGGGCTCACTGGTTGGGTGCTTATCATGTCGGGGGGAGAGGGGTGGGAGCTTGTCCTGCCCAGGACGGGCTGCCTGCGACTCTGCCCGTGCTTTTGGAGGCTTCCTGCCAGCAGGGTGGCTTCCCGCCGAGGGTCACAGCAGCAACGGGGCTGGGTGCGGCCTCAACAAAGGCAGGTGTCCAGCCAAGTGACCTTCTCACCACAGTGTCCAGGAAGGAAGCGATTTAGGAAGCCAGGGGCCGAGGCTGTGACCGGCTCCGACACCTGCTAGGTCCCAGCGGGAGGAATGTAACCCCTGCGGCAAACCCTGGCGATGCCATGGGGCTTCTGGAGCCATGGGACACGTTGGGGACAGTCCCATCACTTGGGGGAACGG